TTACATCCTAACCTTGATATGTATTTGACATTTTCTGTGAAAAATGTGTGTGTATGTAGTCACACTGATAGGGTAACTATTTTTTTAAGAAAATAAATGGTATCTAGATATCTATATCTCTACCTTGCTGTATTCCAACAACATACCTTGGAGATTTTTTTCCACGATACTTTTTAAAATTTTTTTTAGTTGTAGTTGGACACAATACTTTTATTTTATTTATTTAATTTTATGTAATGCTGAGGATTGAACCCAGCATCCTGCACATGCTAGGCAAGTGCTCTACCTCTGAGCCACAACCCTAGCCCCTCCATGATAGACTTTTAAAACTGACCTCTTTACAGGTGCTGCCTATAATCCCAGTGGCTCAGGAGGCTGAAGCAGGAGGATTATAAATTCAAAGCCATCTTCAGCAATTTAGCAAGGCCCTAAGCAATTTAGCAAGATCCTGTCTCTAAATAAAATATTTAAAAGGGGGGGGGTCTGGCTCAGTTGTTAAGCACCCCAGTGTTCAATCCCCCCAACAAAAGACTGACCTCTTTCTTTTCATTTTCTGCATATCAGTTCATGATATGGTCATATGGTAATCAAGTCATTCCCCTCCTATTGGATGTTTGGCATATTGCACACTTTTTTCCAATTACAAGTAATACAGCAGTGAACTCCAGAGTGCAGTGAACTCCAGGTGCTTGGGAAGTGAATTCACACAGTGTGGTACCTGGATCCACAGCATCAATGTTCCCTGGGAACTTGCTAGAGATGCAAATTCTCAGCCCTATTTTAGGCCTACTGACTCAGGGACTCTGAGTGTAAGGCTTAGTTATCTGTAGTTTAACAAGTTCTCTATTAATTCTCATGCATGATAACATTTGAGAACTACTGGTAGGTGTGTGTATATCCACATACATACTCATATGTGTATGTGCACAGTCAATTTTGCTATACACAGATGTATGTGTTCCTAAGCATCACTGAATTATGCAAAATTTTGTAATAAAAGCCATGGAGCATATGGAAAAAATGGAGTTGGGACACAATCAAACCTTTTTTTTAATATTTAGTTTTTAGTTGCAGTTGGACACAATACCTTTATTTTATTTGTTTATTTTTATGTGGTCCTGAGGATTGAACCTAGGGCCTCACACATGCTAGGCAAACGCTCTATTGCTGAGCCACAACCCCAGCCCTCAAAAATTTTATTAGTGACATATAAAAATAAAATCTGGGGGGGTTTAATAAAAAGATAGCTAGTTTTATATATGTTAAATTGGTCAATATGCAAATATTATAGTAAGTATGGTGCTTTCCCTTGAAAAGACTTGAAGCTAGCTTATGATGTTGGTGTTGGAGGGGTTGCCCATGTGAGATATTGTGTAGTGGTGCAAAGAGGACTATCTGCAATTGGAAGAAGAGTTTTAAACCAAATGGGTGGGTGCAGCTTGTAACCCATGCTGTAAACTAAGGCAGTTGGTCATGTTGAAGTGTGTTCTGCTGAGCATTTTGTTTATTCCTATGTGATTTAGTTCAGTTGGGTTCAGTTTTCTGCTTTCAGCTAGCTAGCATTCCTCGTGGATGGAATTTCATGTGAGCAAATGTGAGTTGGAGTTATGCCCCCAAATTTCACTAGTTATCTATCATGTTGGACGATATTTGTCTTTTGTTTTATATAACAGATTCTGTTATAGCAGAACTTGATATACATATGTATAAATACATTTATACATACATTACACAAAATAACTCCATACACCACATTAAAATGCTGTTTTTCTGATTAATTTTTCTCACTTAATATCTCTTAGAACCTTTCCCATATCATCACCTAGGGAATTACTCATTTATTTAATTTATTTACTTTTTTTTTTTTTGCAGTGCTGGGGAAGGAACCCAGAGCTTCACGTATGCTAAGCAAGGGCTCTACCACTGAGCCACATTCCCAGTCCAGTTACTATTTTTTTTTAAAGAGAGAGAGAGGAGGGGGGGGAGAGAAAAGAGAGAATTTTGTAATATTTATTTTTCAGTTTTCGGTGCACACAACATCTTTATTTTATTTTTATGTGGGGCTGAGGATCAAACCCAGCACCTAGCGCATGCCAGGCAAGTGAGTTACCACTTGAGCCACATCCCCAGCCCCAGTTACTCGTTTTTTTTTAAAAAATGACATTTAAAGCATGAAGAGATGACTAAATTGATCTCCAAACTGCTTGTAACAGTTTGCACTCCCACCAATATACTTCTTACATTCTGGCCAATGTTACCTATTAGCAAATTAATTAATTATTGCCATTTTAAATAGTTTAGAATTTTCCATTCCTCTCCCTCCTCCCTCTCATATACAAACATCCACACCCACATACTGAAATCAAATGAATATGTGAGAAAACATAAGAAAAACCGATTTTAAAAAAAGGGAAAGAAAAAAAATTCCCTTTTCACCTATTTATTTTTTACTTCCATCTTTGCTAATGCAACTTATCCACTTTATGAGATAAGATATGGAGTTGACCCTGTTGGGATTCCATCTATCACTCTAGCTAGTTGACATCTCCCAAACTGCAGCTTACACTGTTAATCCATTCACTTCAGCAAAACATGTCTGAGGGCATCAGATTCTTGTGTTTATCAGTATTGGGTTCCATGGCCCTGCAAACCTGAGAAGATACAGTTGATCAAGGTAATGTGATGACTGTGGCACTTGAGTCTGAGGCCCCTGAAAGCAAAAGCTGCAGAAATCAAGGCTCATGCAGGTGTCAGATGTTTTCCTATAAAGAGTTTGGTGATGGACATAACTGCTTCCAGCTGGGCACATTAGCAGGTGGGGGAATCCATAAAGGTTTAACAATTAAATCACATTGGTTTATGATCACTGTTCTTATTAGGAAATATCATTGATTTTGGATGATTTATTGTTTGCAACTGAAATTTTATATAAACATTGTGATTTGCATTTATATACTTGCATATATATGTACATATATCCAAATCAGAATTGCTTACTAAAAATAATCACCCCACCCCCAATGAGGAGAATGGGATAATGATGTAAAGATGCCAATGATATTTAAGGAAATGTGGAAATTATGAAGATTAATGTAATATTGCCCCTTCAAATTTGGTTATATTAGATGCAGTTTCCTCTATTTGAAGGAAGAGAAAACCTAACTGGATCCATCTCTGTTTTGCAATTGAGTTTTGTACCTTGAAATCTCAAACTATGATATTATTAATACAACAGAAAATAATATATATGCAAGAGTCTTATGAAACTAACTTTTACTTCTAAATTAATGCCATGGAGGGGAGGAAGAAAGAAATTTGTGGGGCAGTGGGGGAGAGGAAGAACTCAGAAAAGAGCTTTCAGTCTCATGGGGCCTAGAGCAGCTGCTCTGAAGCAGGCAAGGACACTGCAGAAGGCCTTCCCCCGCCCCCCCTCTTTCTTTCTCATTCTCTCTCTCAGTTACTATTCTTTGAATTCCCAGCTGTAATGACTAGTAAAGGCAACTCTCAGGATCAACCCAGGGTGCAAACTTTTTAGTGGTGAGTTGAAAGGACAAAGCCAAGCATTTCTCCCCCTCATCTACACATAGGGCCAGTTACATAATTTGTAGGGCTCAGTGCAAGATGAAAATGCAGGGCTCCCTGTGCAGAAAGCAGAAAAAAAGTACCACTGAAGGTGCCAAAATATAAAGCTTTATCTTCCATGGTCTCTCTCTATTGACTTGTCACAGTATTTTTTTGATGCTTATTGATTGGTATTCTAAGAACAACTAACATTTTATATCATTAGCATGAATTTTACTGTTTATCTTTATATTGCATAATGCCAGTTTTAAATGTAAATATGAGAAGATGTAATTTGTATATGGACCCACAAAAAATCATAGTTTATATGTAACTTGTGTGTGCATGTCTTTTTTTTTTTTTTTGGTGATACTGTGAATTGAACTCAGGGCCTTACACATGCTAGGCAAGCACTCTACCATTGAGCTACATCCCCATCCTGGGGAGGGGGGGAATATATATATATTCATTCATACCAGCAAGGTAGAGATGCTGCACAGAACTGTTTTTACTTCCTAATACTTGTACAGTCTACCAACATTCTAACTTCATCTTACTTATGAGTAAGGAAGAATTGAAAGGAAAAGAAATTATGCACTGCCTTATCTTCCCCTTTCCTTCTATATTATCATTTTCAGTGTAAGAGGTTGGCCAATACAGAGAAGTAACAGGAGAAATAAAGGACATGACAGTGTTCCTTAATCATTTTGTTTCATAGAACACTATTACCTTTTTTTAGTGAACTAAGCAAATCTGGTTCACATGGAAACCACGGCTTCTTGGGGCTGTCCTAGCACCTACTCAGTTCCAGAGTAACAGGCTTGTCTTATAGTCAACTTGCATGTGGCTGAACTCCCATATGTTGTGGGCCTGCCAGAATCTTGTGCTCCTGGGGTGTCAAGAGTGCTGTGTGCAAATGAGTTACATAACAACACTAGACATAATATAATGTGTATCTCCTCTGCTCACACAAATGCTCCATTGCCCTTTAGACTTCATGAACAAAATACAAGTTAGAAGATTAAATTACCAAGAATTTCAAGACAGCGACAGTAAAGTTCTACACCAAGTGTGCAGTCCTTCTTCATGTGGGGCTTGTGTGACTGCAAAGTTTGCCTATTCATGAAGCTGGGCCCTTTTTGCATCAGGAGAAGCTGCTGGACAACCTGAAGCCTTCTCTGCATGTTGTATATGAAAGGACCCAGTTCTCTACAAGCCGGATACTGCCAATAGCATGTTTGTGCAAAATAGTGTCGTTGGAATGGTTCAATGCACTTATTTCAAGCTCAGATGAATTAATATCACCATTAAAGAGATTAGAGGCCCCCAGTTCCAGATGGGCCTTTGGAAGCTTCAGGCTTTAGCTTTAAGGAGGAATTCAATGAATCAATCTCTATATCCCTTAACATTTTTTGTTTGTTTGGTTTTCTTTCTCCCAGGATTTCCAGCAGGAGAGCTGCAAAAGCCTTTCTTTTGGGGAACAGAATATCCTCGGTGAGTAAATTAGTAAAGAAACCAATTATTGACAAGTTAGGAGGGAAGAACATGGTGCCTTTGCAAAGGTCAAAATATAAAGTCAAAGAATTGAAGTTGTTGATTGTTTAGAAATGATGAGTACTCAGGGAACATGGGCAGCTACCAATAAAGCCTGCAGCATCATTGTTACAATAAATGCAAATTTTAGGCTTGTATTTAATCAAATATTTTATACCATCTCAGGCCTCAGCTGCATAGTTTTCTTTAGTGTCCAGATATTTGGAATCAATTTTCCCTATATTTAAGATTTTACATATAGACGTAGGTATATCTCCATATAACTAAAATTTTAAGCCAAATATTCTCCAAGATTCCTTTAAACTAAAAGTTCTAGAATTCTTTGATTTTGTTTATCAGTAAAAATTTAACTGAGCTTCTATTATTGTGGTTAGGTAGATGGAGACTTAGAAATAGTATGGTTAGGTCTGGAAGTTACTAGTTCAACAATTTGTTACTGAGTTCATGAGCATGATTTTCTGATATCAAAGTCAAAGTCAGGGCTGGGGATGTGGCTCAAGTGGTAGCGCGCTCGCCTGGCATGCGTGCGGCCCAGGTTCGTTCCTCAGCACCACATACAAACAAAACAAAACAAAACAAAAAAAACCCAAAACCAAAGATGTTGTGTCCACTGATAACCAAAAAATAAATATTAAAATTCTCTCTCTCCCTCTCTCACTCTCTCTTTAAAAAAAAGTCAAAGTCATAAAAACTTAGGAATTAATATTTGTGCCTATTAGTTCCATCTTAGGCTGAGCCATAGTTGTTACTTCAGTGAGAGAGATTTATATTTTTTTTCCTAAAGAGTTCTATGTCCTCACTAAGCCATCTATCATCTATTAAGATATTCACTCAACAAATAGCTATGAAGTATTGTTTGGGTGTTTGGCATTGGGAACATAGACATGCTGGAGACAAAGAAATCACGGTCCAGTGAAATGGCTTCCCATGCTTCTATCTATACTGTATTAATTGATTGATAACCACAAAGAACTGGGTATCCTTTCTGCTCACATTAGTCAGCTTATCCTTCACCTGAGTGTTGGATCTAATTATGAGGACATAAACAAGTCAAACTGTTTCCAGAGGAGAGAATCTGGATTGTAAATGGCCAAGATAGCATTACAACATTTCCAAAAGTGGGTGTTCCATGAAATGTTAGAAGTTAGTTATCCCTTTACCCTTCTATTTTTGGAGAATCACAATACTCATCAGCATAAAAGTTTCCAAGTTCTACAAGAAAGAAACCTAATGGGTTTAACCCAGAGATTCCAAAACTCTTTTCCCTGTCTTTTGGGAAATACTGGTCTAGAGTTCATGATTGAATAATAATAACTGAAAGAATTTGAGAACATTTGAAGTTGAATCGTGTAATTATTTTCATATTTTTGAAGGAAAATGAAGGTGGCAGAATGATTTCTTATATTCAGGACAATCAGCAGGTGTTTAGGTAGACTTTATTGGATCAATACATTGAAGACAAGGGAAAGAAATTTCAGATCAATATTAGAACTGTTTTTTATAGAACCACCCAAGAAGAGAATTGGCTACCTCAGAAGGGGCTGAGCTCCTGGTCATTTGGAAATATCAAAGCAGACACCTTATGACCATTTGAACAAATTTCTGTACAGGAAATCATGCCTCTTAGTAGAAAGTTTGAGCTAGATGACCTCAAAACCACTTTCAACCTGGAGATTTTTATGATTCAAACACAGGGTAGCCTACTTTATAATATCATGAGATCATGGTGTGTCCAGATAGTAATATAGTTGTTTTGTTATTGACAGTGAATGTTCTGTATATATTAAACCCATTGGATGGTAAGAACAAAAGAGAAACTGAGTAGGTAGTGAAATTTTCATCTTCCCTGTTTTATTTTTGGCAGGCTAGAAGTTCAATATAGGAACTCTTCAAATTTCTGGCCAGCCAGTTGCATTTAAATAATGTCTTGCTAATTTAAATAATGTCCATTGATAAAATGGAGTATATGAATTTAATGTTATGAAACATTACCATTATAAGGTTTAATCATATAAAATTACCTTTTCTTTGTCTGTTGTCCAAAGGATTGTGACTTTGTAACTGAGAATCGAAACTTATTAATTTAAAATTAGTAATTTTCTGAGTTCTCTATTATCCTTTGTAAATAGAAAGTTTGTTGGTGCAGTTCCTCTTAAGGGACATTTATTGCAGAGCAGTTTCTATAAGCTTCCATTTTTTGTGCCTTAAATTCATCCAGTCAACAGCATTGACTGAAGATTGTAGAGGACTGAGTATTCATTCCCAGGGCTGAACAATCTGGAAAAACTAAATGTTGCAGGCTGCATAGTGATAGCTACTGCTGCAAGAATTAGCACTATGTAAAATTACAAGTTTGTCCCATACTACTATGATAGCTCCATGATTGAAATGCATAATTTTGCTCTTACTTCTTTAATGAAGGTTTGCAATGAAGGAAAAACAGTAGGAAGCTTTTTTTTTTCCAAAATGCAAATTACCTTGCAGGAAAGAAATAACAAAGGAAAGAATTGCCACCAAGGGGAAAAATTAAATCTCACAGCACTTCCTTGGGTATAGTTGAGACAAACAATTAGCATGTTAAGGATCATTATATCCCGTAATAACATGTTGCTTCAGAAATTTCTGTTCTTTCCAGTTATGGGTCCTATCTGTTTGCTGGATGACTTTGATGTTGCATGTCAGGAACCAACTGTGAGAGATTTTTTAGCATCATTGTAAATCTCATGAAGAATCCTAATAGTAATATTCTAAATAGTCTATATTCCTCATCCACAGGTTAAATGACTTCAATAAGATACATATAGATCTATCATTTGCATGAAATGGTAAAGTTAATTAAGCATTAGTTAAATCATTGTAAACTTTCTTATTGTGTACTAGGTACAGAGAATTTAGCAGTGAACAAGTAGATAAGGGTTTTGTCTTCATGGAACTTATAGATGAGAGAGAAAATTATACACATACACATATGGAAATCCCATATTTCTTCATATATTATGCATATGTTTGTTTCAGTTATCAATTGCTACATAATGAAGTACCACCAAATATCCATTTATTGGCTGATGATTCTATATTTTTGGCAGGACCAAACTGAAGACAGTTTGTCCCTGCTTCTTGTGGTGTTGGCTGGGTAGGTGCATAGGGCTGGAGGAGGATGATGACTTTACTGGATCTTTGGGCTGGCTTTAATGAGACGGGCCTCTCTTCCTTCAGAGTCTCTCAACTTTTGGAGTCTCTCTCTTGGTTCACCTGACCTTTCCTTCCAACTATGTAGAAATTCTTTACATTGTAGTTAACTTTTGAAAGGGCAGCAAAGGGAAACTACGAGGTCTCTTCAGGCTTTAGCCCAAAGATCATACCTGGCCCCTTCCATTTTTTTTTTTTTCTCTTAGTCTCGAGAAGTCCCAGGGCCAGTTCAGATCCAAGGGCACAAAAATAGATCCCCTTTTGATTGGAAGAGGGGGCATGTCTACTCAGGGGTGTGTGGAATTATTGGTGGTTGCCATTGTAGGGAGTCTAATGCATACTTCTTCAGAGGTGAGGAGAAATAATATAGCACCTTTTCCAAATTTGATGAAGGCTTCACAGCCCTTGCTATTCAGTTGTCAGCTTGTCTGCCACAGAAACAGGAATGTGACTACCTTTGAAAACAGAGTGATCCCTTTTAATCTCTGCTCTATTTCTTTTTTATGACTATATTTGGAAAACAATTTAACTTCTAAGATTATAGTGACTTTTCAACAAGTTTTCAGATAAAAAATAGTATATTTACTGACAGGATCTTTTTAAGCCCTGTTTTAAGTGTTCATAAGTATAAAATATCACTAGAGCAGATGTAGAATCATAGAAATCTGAGGCTGGAAGGGATTTTAGAAATCATCTTTTTCATATTCTTAATTTTTCAGGGTAGGATACTAAGGTCTATACAAGGTCACAAAGACAATGTTAGAATTTGTATTTTCTTTGTTCATTTTGATTAGAAGGGTATGTTTAGACAGTTTGTTTTACAGTTTCATGCGTATGGTTATTAGATTTTTATTATTATGGCTACAAGAAAACAGATTGTCTTGGCTTTTGTTGGAAAAATTAAGGGATTATGCTCTCAGATTCATGCTTATAATTTTCCCCAAATTGTGTATTTATGATACAGATCTCTGAGTTATGGTGCTATAGGAGTAATTGTTGGACATGAATTTACACATGGATTTGATAATAATGGTAAGTACTAGTTGATTTTATAAGCTGCCACTTTTGTAATAATGTTCACTATGTGGGTGTTAATTGTTGTTATTATCTTTGCATAGCAGCAGCATCATAGACTAAAAATTGTCCAATACAATAAATACAATTGCTGATTGAAAACTTTTCCACATGTCTTGCTGTGATAGCTTGCAATAAATAAACAATTATTCTCATTGGTAATTGGGGGAGAATAAAAAAGAAGACCTTGTAATTCCAATGAGATTACCTCTGCATTTATATCAGGATTGCTGTACCTGCCACAGTAGTTACAGGAATTGTATTATAGCTTCTTCCTTTTGTCATTTTTTAAAATTCACCATTTTGAGATGTTTTCCCTGGAGGTGCAAGCTCTGCCCCAAAGATGACTCTACATGCTGCACTGCCAAGTTAGGCCTTTGAGCTTGGCTGACTAGTTTCTTTATGCAATTCCAAGGCTTATGCAATGCTTAATCATTGTTTTTCTTTATATTGGCATATATTCTGAGTTTTTCTTTTATCAGGGCTAGGCTTCTCTAATAAGGCACAATATAGAATATGTTGTACATCCTGATGACATTTAAGCAAAAGAGAGCACAATATAATCTAAACTAAAGAAATTATTGCCTCTGAGAGTCCTTATTTTAGATCAGCACTCCTTTCTCTGAAGTATTCTTGGAAAGCCATAGGAAATCTCTGATGTTTATGAATTAGCAAACTATTATCACATCCACAAAATGATTTACAGGCAATCTTTTATTTCATTTTATTTTTAATTAGTTACACATGACAGTACAATGACCTTGACATATCATACATTTGAATCAGATGGGATATGATTTCTAATTTTTCTGAGTATACAGGTTGCAGAATCACATTGGTCATGCATTCACATATATACATACAGTAATAATAATGTCTGTACAGGCAGTCTTAAGAGCTTGGCTGGCCCAAGGGAATGCTGTGGACTTGTTTCCCTTGTGCCTATAGTGTCTCTAACATCCTTTACTGGATGCCTACCCCAGGGCCAGAGACATTTCAGGTTCTTTTTCTTCTGGACATTTCTTCCTGCCCCCACCAGCCTGCCCTTAATCACCTAGTTTTTCCTACCTCTTTGGTCTCCCTCTCTCTGTTAAAATGTAACTGCCTTGTAATCATCTGACTTCTTGGAACTCATTTTTCTACCTTTGGACATTTGGTTTATCTGAGAATAGAGTCTTAACTATGAAACAAAAGCAATTGGTTTTGTATGTTTCTTCCTAGGAAATTTAAGTATGATTCTCCACCAGATCCATTTGGAATCTTTCCCAAGGGACAGAATTTTGCTTTGTGACCAATACTTAGAACAGTGTATTCACATAAAAGTACATGTGCAGTTACTATTTAATGATTGCTTGGTTGGTGGTTGGAGGACAGTGATTCCACACCATTCCAGGTGGTAGTATTAGTAGCATACAGTCTTGCTAAAGAGTTTTGGATTGTTCTAATTAATATCTTTGGATAGAGGGCTTTCATGTAAGCTCTTTCTTAGGGGACCCTTGTTTTGGGGACCTTTTAACAATTTTTGCATAATTAAATTTAAACCATATAGTAACCTTGAATATAGACAGTAGTCTAGATGTACCTAAATTGTTGTTTTGAAGAGTGTAGGGAAATTAGTGAGTTAGCATATAGCAATATACCATGTGTAACTTATCTTTTTTCCCCCATTATGTTTTAGAGATTTCTGTTCTTGTTCCAAGTTCTCTTTTTTAGAGCAATCTTTCTTGTCTAAGTAGGAAAAATGGGTCCTTCTATCCATACTGATGACTGTAGATTGATTCATACCAGCTTTTATGTGTCTCTTGGCTCCTGGCAACTTGGAGGAAGCATGTTCCTATGGGGCTGAGTAGGGCATATGGTCCTATGTGTAGATAACTTGCTGGATCTGTTCCTATGGATCATTTGGAACTTCACTGATAGTGGTGCTCTGGTTCCCTCCACAGACTTTCTGAATGAAACCAATTCATTTCACAATCCAGAGAACATTTCAGGTCAGATCAGGCGAAAACACAGAATCCAAATTTGGATAAGACTGGTGTATACATTAAATTGAGGAATCTCATTTTTTTTTAAAAGCCCTTTGTTCCTTAGAAGGAAAGAATTTTCTCAATCCTTGTTCTCCCTTCCTCCCTCTTTACATTTAACCTGTGATATTGGAAAGAATGCAGAAGCTGTTCTCAGGAAGGGTGTTCCCTGCTGTTATGACTGCATTTTGAAAGCTTGTCAAGGTGAGAAAAAGGAAAGATGTTGAATTTAGTTTCCATAAATAACACTAATGTCTTTTAACTTTCCTTTTTGCTAGGTAGAAAATTTGATAAAAATGGAAACTTAGATCCTTGGTGGTCTATGGATTCAGAAGAAAAGTTTAAAGAAAAAACAAAGTGCATGATTAACCAGTATAGCAGCTATTATTGGAAGAAAGCTGGTTTAAATGTGAGTACAACTGTGGTTAAGGAAGCATCTCATGGACCATTTTTCCTCATTTGGATATTAGCTTGCTTTAGACCATTGGTTCTTAAAGTGTGCTTCTGAGATCAACAACATCTGCCTTCCCTGTGAACTTGTTAGAAATGCAAATTCTTGATTTCTCCTCCAGACCTGCTGAATCAGAATCTCTAGGGGTGGAGCCCCATAGCCTTATGGTCTGTCTGTCTTTTTATAATCCCCGTGGTGATTGATAAAAGCTGCAGTTTGAGAAAGATGGATCTATGAGTTAATTTATTTGCCTAGATTCAGATTAATGTCAAAAAATCCTGTAGTACAAACAATAACATCCTTATAAATCTCCTACATCTCATGACATTTTCTTTTTTTTTGATATATTTATCAATCCACATTTATTTAAGCACCCCTTATTGCAATATAGTCCTGAGAGCAAAAGCTACATCTGACTTTCAGTGACATTTTCTTAAAAAAATTCCATCGAAACTATTGCTTAGGTTTAATTTATTGAAATCAACTCTCATTAATTTGAACTAATAGTCTGAGAACTGGTTAAGAGTTCATAGTTTTAGAAGTTTGAACAAAGGAAAGTACTTTTTAAATGTTTATTTTCCATTATATAATAATTTTCCATAAAGACACAAACACAATTTTATACATGGATCTGTGTGAATGATATGTCAATCCTTTCCTTTTATTGTCTTCACCTATATATCCTTTTCCTATTATCAGTCTTACTGTCCCTACCTATAACATTGGTTACAATGTTATACTTTCCCCCTGCTTGCTTAAAGGTAGGGACACATGCAACTTTAGTACATTGTATCCAATGGCTGCCTCAGAGTCCTGGGTGTGAATGTTCTGTTATAATTTAGTCAAATAATCTCTTGTTGAGGTGTTACAAATGCTGATGCAATAAACTCCTTTATTATGTGTGTACTCTTTTTTCTCTACAAGATAGATTCCAACTGTCACCAAAAAGTTATAAAATTTCATATTTCCACAAGTGATACATGAAAGAACATTTATCTATTGAGTTGTTGTTTTCTTGTCAAATTTTAACAAACTTTTAAAATAATATAGATGTTAAACTTTTGCCTATTGTTTCCATTATATATATTTTCCCCAGATTTGTTACTTATCCTTTGGACTTTATATATGATATGTTTCAACATAAAATATTTAAAATTGAAAATCATTTCCACTTTTCCATTCTTTGTTAAGAAGTTGTTATATATGAAATCTTCTAGTTTTCCTGGGAATGTTGTTTATTGTTTTGTTATTTTACATATAATTCTTCATGTATGTGAAATTGATTTTTCTATGGAGTTTAATATGAGAATTCACTGATATTTTCTTCCTAGAAGATAACCAGTTGATCCAGCATCATTTATTAAAACAAATCTTTTTCAGTTAGTTGTGGTGGCATATGACTATAATTCCAGGAATTCAGGAGGCTGAGGCAGGATGATCACATGTTTGAGGCTAGCCTCAGCAACTTGCAATTTATTTCAAAAGTTAGATAAAAAGAGCTAGGGATGTCATTCAGTGGTAGAGCATTTGCCTAGCATGCATGAGGCTCTGGGTTCCATCCTCAGGAAAAAGAGAACTAGAAAGATTGGGCGGGGGGGGGGTCAGTCAGTCAATCATACAAATTGAGGGGAAAATAGTGGTCCCCAGAGCCTGGAGATAGTAGGGGGTTAGGAGGTGGGGAAATGTTGGCCAATGGGGACAATATGATAGATAGGAGTAATAAATTCTTGTGTTCTGCTGCATAGTAGGGTGGCTATAGTTAACAATACTGCATGGATCTCTCAAAATGAGTAGAAGAAAGGATTTTTAATATACTCATTATGAAGAAATGATAAAAATTCAAGGTGATGGACTTGCTAATTACTCTGATTTGATCATTATACAATGTATATATGTTTTTATCACATTGTACCATATACATATGTACAAGTATTATATGTCCATAAAAAAGAATATCATATACACCAAGATAAATTCCCAGGTTTATGAATTAGGCAAGTTAATGTTTCTAAGTATCAGTGTCTTCAGCTATGAAATGGGTAAATACTTCTGAACTAATTAATTTGTTGTAAGAATTAAATGAGTGAAGTACTAGCATAATGCTGTTGCAAGAAGTGCTCAGTAAGAGATAGTTAATATTTCTGATTCTTTGTCTCATACTAAGAGGTAGCTTACTGCAGAGAAAATAAAGACTTGTAGGTCTGAAAAGACAACAGTAGTTTTCTTGCAGTAAAAAGATTCATATTTCTTTGTGATTATTATCTGTAGGCATGAGGGAGTTTTCAATTAACTGAAATAAATGTGACCCTCATAATGTTCTTCAGAGGTGTACATATTACTAGGTATACATGCTCTACATATGAGAAATCTGATGATCAAAGAGATGCGTGCCTACAGTAGAGTCTGGATTAGAGTTTATATCTTTATAACTCCAGAGTTGGCATTCTTATCCCCATATTATACTCTGATTCTCTTAGTTTAAGTTCATTTTATACCTGGGTGATATATAGGTAGGCTGTTCTTCAGCATCCATTTTGAACAAAGTGTCAAATATTGAAACAGTTCTGACAAATGTGTATCTCCATTACAAGAACAATAGAAAAGGCATGACTGTCTCAGTGTAAGTCCATCCAACCATCAGAAAACGGCTTCTGTCTTATTCACACAGCAGAGTGGGTGACTTCTTTTGTGGCCAAAAGGCACCATGGTTTATTTTTTTCTGGTTTCATTTGTAAGATTTAGTCTCTCTCTCTCTCTCTCTCTGAATTGGGAGGAGCATAGATGGGGTACCAAAGATACAGACTATCAGCAGCTGTTAAGTCCTGAGAGGTCACACTTAGAGCCATGTCCCTCACTGAGATTGTCCATAGTGCCAGGAACCAGAGGTTGAGGATACTTCAAAAGCTTCTATTTTAGTTATAAAGCTTAGACTAAAAACGAAGGAGAGATTTAAGCTTGAGTGGATATAAACACAAACAACAAGAGCCAAGAGGAGTTGAGAAGTTATGCATTATGGAACATAGGCTCTGGAGACAGAAGACTGCTTAGGTTTCAATCTCTGAGAAATGTTAGCAGTTTACTTAGCCACTCTGTCTTAGAGAAGGTTATTAGAAGCAAAGACCAAGGAGGAGTTTCTTAGATCAGTAATTTATCAAAGTAGTTTCATGAGAAACTTGTAAGGGAGTGAGGAAAACATATTGGTTTCAGGAGGAGTTTAGCTTTACCCTGATCCCACAAAGGGTTCTAGAGCATGAAGCATACCATGGAAATTGTTCATCCCAGGGGCAAGGGATGGGGCTCTTCCACCTGCATATTAGTCAGTTACTGGAAGGTGAAGTATAACTTCCCAACAACCTCCAGGTATGGTAGCTTTCATAAACTAAGGTTTACTTCCTGAGCTGTTATCAGTTACAGGAATGGGTTCATAGTCCTGGTAGAAAAAGGGATCCAATGCGATACTAACAACAACTGCTACATATTCTGAGTTTCAGATCTTCATTTATTAAATAAGAATGATAACAATAGGACTTACCTCATAGGATTGTAGTAAAAGAATGTAGGTGAAGCAAATATGCTGACTTTTGGGGACTAAAATTAGCAGGGTTATTCTGGGTGATTATAGCAAAAAATGTTTTCAAAGATTTTTTAAAAAATTTATTTGTTCATCTTAGTTATACATGATAGAGTATATTTTGACATATCATACATATATGAAGTATAACTTCCCATTCTTGTGGTTGTACATGGTGGAGTTACACTGATCACTTATTCATATATGACCTTAGGAAAGTTATATTGGATTAATTCTACTATTTTTCCTACTCCCATCCCCCTTCCCTTCCCTTCATTCCCCTTTGTCTAATCCAATCCAAAGTACTTCTATAAAGATTTGTTTTTATTTGTTAGTATTACTTAATACCTGGGAAATTGGGCTAGATTAAAAGTAAAGAGTTGGTAGGATCCATGGCTTGTGTTAGTTTCCTGTTGCTGCTGTAACAAATCATTGCAAACTTAGTAACTTAAAACAACACTAATTTATTGTCATGTAGTTCTGTATGCCAAAAGTCTGACCCAAGTCTCAGTAGTGTAAAATCAAGGTGTCAGAAGGTCTGTGTTATTTTCTAGAGGAACTAAGAGAGAATCTGTTTCCTTGTCTGTTCTAACTTTTAGAGGCTGCCCATATTCCATGGCTCATGGTTCCTTCCTTCAAAGTTGGCAATGGCCAGTGTAGTATTCTCACATTGGATCACTCTGACACTTACTCTCTTGACCTGTTTAGGACCCTTGTAATTACATTGAGTCCACCTGAGTAATCCAGCAATGTTCCCATCTCATGATCCTTGACTTAATCATATCTTACAAGTCCCCTTTGTCATTGTGAGATAATATATTTACAAGTTTTAGGGATTAGGATGTAGATATCTTTGGAAGGCTAGTATCCTGCCTATTACACTGGATCTGGCAAATATTTTTGTAAAAGTCCAAACAGTAAGTAATTTAGACAATGTAGGTTATGTGGTCTCTGTTGTAAATACTAAACTCTGCTTTTGTAAAATGAGTAACCACAGACAGTGTGTTTATGAATGGACATAGTTGTGTTCCAATAAAATTTAATTTATGACCACTGAATTTGAATTTCACATAATTTTTGCATACCATAAAATATTCTCCTTTTTATTGTTCTTCCTCAATCATTGAAAAATGTAAAACCCAGTCATACCTGGTAGCCTGTACTAAAACAAGTGGCAGGGTGGCTTTGGGTTGTGAGCTGTATTGATTTAGAATATTTAAAATATTTAGGTTCTGGCTCATTTGAGATTTTAAGAAATGGATTTCAAATAATCAGAAGAATGATCTTCTCTGTGCTTGACTGGGTGTCATATACATTGCAAACCTTGACCTTGTGGTCTGCACTACTGTTTGATTTTTGTTCCCCAGTAGAGCTAACCTTCTTTTAATTTTTCATGGAAATTACTAGAGGCAAAATGATAATGGTTGTTCTTGAAATCTTGTTCCTGTATGGATGGCAAATTTTTGGAAACACAGGTACAATGAGAAGAATAGTCAAATTATATGAGTTAATCAGAGAAGGTAATCTGTGTATTGACATTTCTATTTTTTCCCATTAAACCAGAGTCACTCAGAATATTGTTAATATTTTATTGGAGCTAGAAAAAATTGGTGAGATTAAAGAGGGTGAGAAAGTAATGTGCAGCATAATAAAATAGAAATTATTATATTCAGGAGCACCTTGCTGGGGTTAGTTTGCCATCTCGAAATATATTATGACTACCTCTGATTTACTGAATGTAATTTTCTCTTTAAAATATGACACTTTTGCTTGCTATAATATTTATGCCTCTTGCTGAATGATAGTTGACCGTGAAACGCTTTTTATTTTTTCTTTTTGTTAGGTGAAGGGGAAGAGGACCCTGGGAGAAAATATTGCCGATAATGGAGGTCTGCGGGAAGCTTTTAGGGTATGAACTGCAATGTTTGCTGTGGTTTTAAAAATTAAGCTATAAAACACTGTATGGGTGCACCTCAATTTATACTGCAGACATGTTCTTAGGTGTTGAGTATTCTGGAGTTTCTATACATAGAATTGTATTTCCCCATCGACTCTATTATACTCTATTACATAAATAGATCTGCATTTCTTTCTTTTTTTTTGTTTTTGAGGCATAAAGTTACCCTAAAGAATAATATTTGTTATTAAGAATCATGAATTTAAAAGAAAGTTTTCAGAAAATACACTCACAATCATATCAAAGTATGCTACAGAAACCTCCTTGGGGCTAGGTACATATGAGTTTTCCCTGAGTTCAGCTGTATCTCTCTACTTAAAATTTTATCTTAAAATACCAAAAGTCTAAATTATGGGAAGAGGCTAGTGATTCTCATGTATTGGTCCAGATAAGAGTCCATAATACTGTTTTTGTCATCCATTGGTCTTTGGTTAAATAAGAAACAAGTATAATATGGGAAATTTTTCATAAAGCTAAATACATTCACTTTAAAGACCAGGTTTTTGATGTACTATATATCCTTTTCTTAAGGCTATTTATCAAAATATAATAAAAAGGCCAGATTATTATTACAAGGCTATATCCTTCCTATATGCTTATTAAAATGAATTTTGTTTTATAAAATGATGGTGATCAATGATGATAGTTTTCCTGCTAATTGGAAAAAATAAAGAATTGATAATATGTATATCCACAGATATATTTCCCTGAGGGCCTTGTCATGGTGTTATATTTGTTTGTCCCATGTTGAATTCTTTTTAAAAAGAATTATTTAATGTCTCAGTACTGTGGCTCAGCTCCTTTGGTAGTTATTGAGTGTAAGGTCTTTTACTGGTGTACCTACTTCACTCTTAAGTGGAAAGACATTAACTTCTAGGTGTTTGTTTTCTTAAAGGAGAACTTGAAACATTGCACTTTGCAAATGGCAGGAGTATATATTTAATATCTCTGTATTGGAGGAATAAAGGGAAAATCATCATTTCACAGCTCATCTATCCTGTTTCTCTCACTAGGCTTACAGGAAATGGGTAAATGAGAGAAGGCAAGGAGTTGAGGAGCCTCTCCTACCAGGCATTACATTCAACAACAACCAGCTCTTCTTCCTGAGTTATGCCCATGTGAGTACACTGAGGAAGGGGCATCAAGGATGTAATGCAGAACTTGAGCTTGTGGCTTTCATCAAATTTTAAATGGCATGACTTTAATTTTGTCCAAAATATTCTCTTGCTGATTACTTTCAGGATAAAGTCCATCATCTTAATGTTCTGTAAACATATAATAATTAACCTATTGAATCAAAGTTCACTGGTATTTTTTAACCATTGAACTATTTTTTTTAACTAATTAACCATATTGTTTCTCAATATATCTGGACTTCTTCATGCATTTCGTACTACTTGTGACCATTTCCAGTAATGTGTTCCTTGAATTTTGTGGCCCTTCCCTTCCCTACATTTCTCTTTCTCCTTTGCCTTACTTGCTGAATTTATCCTATCCCTCTCAACCTATGGGAGACACTCAGGTCTGGGTTCCCAACTGTCAAATAAATACACAAGAACTGTTGGAGCTGAAAAATAACAACAAAGGCAAGGAGACTCATTACTCTTTCATGAGTTTAATATGTTATTGGGGCAGAAATTGGAAGGAAACACTAAATAAGGTATAATTCTCAGTTGAGTCTCTGGCTAATGAAGCAAGTACCAATTCTTTGTCATTGGTTATTGCACTGGTTTGTGTCACAAATGTATAGACAACATTTTCAAAAAAGTCAGGATGTGTCTATAAAGGTTCTGATGTATGGCCTCACAGTGGGCAAACATTTAAGTACATGCTCAAAGCTCGACAAAAGTTTTCATCAGTACAACCATTTGTTCCTAAGTCTTTGCATTCATTTCTCAGTAAGCTCATCCATCTCTTATTAAGGAATTCCTACCTGTTCCTAATTCCTAATACTCTGATTAAGAAATTCCTACCTGTCTGGGATCTTTTATCTCTTGAAACTGGCATGAAAACACCAAACCAATTATCATTGATCAATCCAATGTCAACAAAATCACTTTCCTTTTTAGTTTTCAGATTTCTATTAACATACCCCCAGTTTTTTTATCTCCCTGGTTAGAAAGTCTGTTCTTGGGTCTTATTTGATTTAACTTCCATATTTTACCAAATCTAGATGTTTCATCTTTAAAAAAAATTTTTAGTTGTAGATGGACACAATACCTTTATTGTATTTATTTATTTTTATGTGGTGCTGAGGATCAAACTCAGTGCATCACACATACAAGGCAGGTGCTCTACTGCTGAGCTCCAGCTCCAGCCCAGATGTTTCATCTTTTTAATTACTGTTTAGTTTCAACTTCTCGTTCTCACTTGTTTTAGGCAGTTCAGGCTCATAAACAAAAATGTATTTCTCATAGTTCTAGAAGCTGAAAGTCTGAAATCAGGATGCCAGTAGCATAAGGTTCTGCTGAATTTGGGGGAAACAAACATTCAGCCCACAGCATCCCCATTACCCTATCTCATCTATAGGCAAAGCTTTGATGTCTTCTGCTCTGGATTATCCCAACAGCCTTATGGCATGTATTCCTTACTTCAGCATCTTTTACTACTCTTTTACATTTCACTGAAATACCATTTTATTTCAGTACTGATCTACTAAAAGAACAACAGTGGTTCTCAAATGTCTATAACATTGAGTCTAAATACCTTCATCTGGCTTTCAAAGTTCTCAGTCTGATTCTTCTCCACCTGATCTGCTTTAATTTTCCACAGCTTCATTGGATCAGAAAAACTCAACCTTATCCAGGCAGTATCCCCACTTCCACCCCCATGATGTCATGCTCATTACTGTCATGTTTCTGAGTCTCCTTTTATAATGTGGCCCCCTCCCTACTTTTCCTCCCCAAATTATTATTCAATCTCAGCTTTCTTCTTCAGGAACCATGTTGAGTTTCATCTCATCCATAACTCTTCCCAAAGGATTCCAGTCCAGTCTTCATTATTTTCTTTTATCTATAACTCCTATTTTATTTCCTTTTACTAACATTTAGTTGAGTACTTAATTGCTCTCAAAATGTTCAAGACTTTCAGGTTGATCTCCACAGCTAATCTTCTGGATCCTTATACTTGTTATTTTCCTCCATAGCACTCAGCAAAGATGCTGAATAGATTGAAGATGCTTGATATTTTTAGATCAATTGCTTCAAAAGGAAAAGGCTAACACAATTCAACTAGGTAGACTTCCTTTGGGGTGATTATAGGGTCAGATGTTAAAATAAGCACACAAACAACAGTAAGAATTTTCTCCAGTTAAGGTTGGCAGTTTCCTGTTTTTGTAAATAATGTTTTATTGGAAAATAGCTATACTCTAGCTGATTTTGTGTTACAGTGGCAGAGTTGATTAGTTAAACAGGAACCTTCTGGTCTTCAGAGACTAAAATATTTACTATCTGTCTCTTTACAGAGAGTCTGCTAATCCCAGATCTAGAGGACAAAGTACAAGGGTTCATTAGTTTTTACTATTTACATCCTAGTCCAAATTACTTCTTCACAGATGAAATAAAACTAATTAATAGTGATGATATAGTTATAATTTTAAAATGTTTCCAAATGTAATATGAAACCATTTCTGATTTATTTTAAAGTAAAGAGATTTAGGGAAAAAGTGGAAAGCTATTTTTATCACTAATGAGAAATTTATCTTAGAGCTTTTCCTACTGACAGAATGAGGATATTTTCAATCTTTTGCACATTGGAGTTAAGTCTGCTTATAGGAAGCAAAGTTATTTTCCCTCCTGGGAAGGTACTAGGAAAATAGTAACAACCATAATGTGTTTTCAGAAATCTCTTAAGTGACATAGGTGACATAGACAATTATATATAATAATGCAAGGGTATAAGACGAAGTAACCTAAAAAGAAATGAGGTAAAAATCAAATGTCAAAACAAGTTCACATTAGATAGCTTCTGAGGAAATTAAAGAATCATTTTACAAAAAACATTTTCAAAATCAATTCAGAAACACAATGACTGATGATTTATATTCATCAAAATTAATAGCATCATATCACCTTTCCTGTTTCCTATATTCTTGCAGTTGCTGTGATCTATCAATTTCTTTCCTTGGATATTCTTCTCATCTTTCTACTTCTTTCCATTCCTATTCCTACTTATTTAGTGGATATTCATTGCCTATAAATAATCTTCTAACTAGTCTCTTAATTTCCTCCTTCTACTCTATATGCCTACCAGACAAATCTTTGAAAAATATGGATTTTATTTTCCTGCTCAAGAACAATGTTAAAATATAGTTTAAAAACTTTGGTCTATTGCTTAGGACTTCAAAAGTCTGTCGCCATTCTGTCTCACTTGGTCTTCCATTGCTGCCAATTATATACAACCTATTACAATCAAGTTCAGTGTCTTGCCTTCCCCCTCTCCCAATCATTTTCTCATTTGCCCTTCCATTAGAATGTTCCCCACCACCATTTCCATGTGTTCTAGTCCTATTCATACTTGAAGATTATATCATATTTCAAGATATACTTTGAGTCAGAATTAAGTTGGTTATACTGCAGAAAAGAACAGCACAACCAAAGTGTATTTCTTGTTCATGCTCCAAGTCCATCATATATTAGCAGTAGGGCCCTGCCTGTAATTTTTACATAAGGGCCTAGGGTTTGGAATCTTGACATGTAATTTCATGGTCACCACAGGTATAGGGAAGAAATGTAAGGAAATGTGCATTGCCCCTTAATGTATTCCTAAGGCTCTTAAAACTTCTGTCAGGTTTTTTTAAGCCTCTGCCCAGAAGTTACATCTATCATTCTGCTCATGTTTCATTGGTCAGAACAAGTTAGATTTCTGTGCCTAACTTCAAAGGAAATGGAGAAATGTACTCCTGTTCCAGGCTGAGACTAGGTTGAGGCAAGGAAAATACTTGGGGCAAAATAGTAACTTCTCATGACCATACTCAATTCTGAATGGCTGATTCACTTTATTGATTCAAATGAGCATGATTACAATTGATATGGGATATTTAAAACATTAAATTAATTGAAGGAAATGCATTGATTAATTTTGGGGCACATATATGATTTTTTTGATTTAAAGCACATGTCTGGAAACTTCCTAATTTACCAAATTGTATAATTACTCATATTGAAAAAAACTCCTACTCTGGGGATTAGAATAATAGATGTTCCTACTGATGAAGGTTTTATCTGGTCTGCTAAAATTGTCATCTATTCATTCTAAAATTATATTTTGGTATAATTTGGAACAGTTAAACTAGAAAATGTATAATTGGAATGGAAGCTTATTTATTGGGATGCCTTTCTCTTCTAGGTGAGGTGCAATTCTTATAGACCAGAAGCTGCCCGAGAACAAATTCAAATTGGTGCTCACAGCCCCCCTCAATTTAGGTAAATGATTAAATGGGTGATACAAGTTTTTAACTATATATCTCCTTCCCCACACCACACCCATCAATCCATCCCAGTGTACTACTCATGAGTGATGCAAACAAAAGCCTGTATTGTGAAGGTGTAATCTCCATTTTGCAGATAACCAAATCTGGCCAAACAGAAACTAAACATCTTTTTCTGCAATAGTAGTAAGCTGGTATATTCAGTGCTTTTTCAACTAAATTTCTGTTGATGAGCAGTTGTACATATCTCTGGTTTCAAGAGATCCATGGGATTACAAAAGTAATTTGGAATCCAAATCATAGCTTTAGTATTAAATTCTATTTATGATCTTCCAGTTTTTGAAAGGCAGCAATACATGGGTGCTATGATCACCATGGGCAATCAGTAAACTGAAATATTCAAAACACCCAACTACCTAATTTTTTGGGGGGGAGATCTGAGCCAAAACCCAAATTTTATTGTCTCCAAAGAAGATGTAATATGAGGCACTTTGCCTTAAAATATCTAGAACTCTGGTTTGTTTCATGTTAAAGCATATTCTGTTTAATACCTCTTACTTTTTCCACACAGTCATCCAACAGACATAAATACATGCCCACTTTCTGAATAGATCTGAACCCAAAGGAAGATTTATGGTGATACTGAGCAATTATAATTCATATCTAGAGTCAGGACACTATATTTTGGCATTCAGCTTGCATCATATTTTGAAACAATTGCTTACATATGAAGGGAACAGGATTATGAATTATAATCTTATTGTCAGAATGTATAAAGTACTAAATAAAAACAAAATTATGTTTGATATTACTTACCCTGTCCTAGGTTCCATAGCCTGAGAGAAATTTTCTAAGTAGTGGACACATAATTATGATAAGAAATCATAATAATTTATAGTTATTCATTCTTTGCTTCGAACATATTAACCTGGATATCTTTATATTTAATATTTAAATGAATCCATTTGCATATTGCAAGAAAGTCATCTGAAATTTCTTCTATATTTTAAAAATCTTATTCCTAAAATCTTGCCTTAGAAATGCTTTGAACATTGACCATAAATTACCCAGTAGCATAAAAATCTAATCACTGTGTTGGAAATTCTCCCCCACTGGGCTAAACTGTCATGAAGCCTGACAGTTTCTAATGGACTAAAAATGTGCTCCCACTGACAAATGGTGCAGATGAAGCCACACAGTAGATTAATTACTCAACAGTTAAGTTTTTAGAAACTTATTTTTACTAACTAGTTGCCTGTAATGTTGGATTTTAGCTGATAATTTACAGAGTATGCTTACTAATTATCAGCTATATTCTATCTTTAACACTTGCCTAGGGTGAAGCACACTATGAAATATGCATCTCTACCCATACATCCCAGTTAAAACACAAGAGGTTATTAGAATTTGTTGGATACAGGCCATTACATTCATTCAAATGCCTCTAGGTAACAAAGTCATTAGGGAAGAAATAGTCAGTGGCTGAGAATGCTGAGTTTCTAGTCAACCCTTTGAATGTGAGATTGAGTGAGAAATAGATGAGGGGGGAAGTTTTTTTTTTTTTTTAACTGATGTCTGCAGTAACTATAGATTTTGAGTGCAGTGAAAAATCACACAATGGAAATACCACTTCCAAAAAACACTTACAATCAAAGTGCTGAGTAGGAATCCACAGTCTTTACTGCAGTTGGGAACTTGCAAGAACACCGGATTTTGGAACTAAAATCTAGTGAAGAAGTATCTATCTGTAACAATTAGATGCTTTCCATTAGTTGGATGTTGCATTAACTAGATTCTAGGTAAATATGATCCCCCCAAACTAACAGAAATTTAGAGAAGAGAAATTATTTTTGTAGACTGAAAAAATTATTTAAAAATAGTTGGAAATGAATGCTTTTACAGACGTTGAGTGAAAGAAGTCAAAGACACAACATTGAATACTGTGGATTCCATTCATGTAAAATTCAAAAGCAGGCAAAGCTATGGTGATAGAGGTCAGGATAGTAGTTATCCTTGGTAGGGGACACAAAGGGGCTTTCAGGTTACTAGAAATATCCTGTCTTGATCTGAGTGGTAGTAATATTGGGTACCCATGAACAAATTAGTGGTTTCTACATTTAAGAATCATGTACTTTATATCAATTATACATTCCATAAAAGTTAAATTTTAAAAAATCTTGGAAAAACTAAGTATTGGAGATGGTATAGTTTTAAAGGATTTTGAAGAATGTTGGAAGAGTAGTAGAAACATTTGCCTGGCATTCAGGAGATGTTGGTTCTAGTCTTAGTGCTGTTAATTTCTTTGGAATTTTACTTATTGATTTTGGGCTTTAGCTATCTCTCCTGTAAACAGATTAAATAAATGTCAAGATCCTTTCTAGCAATATACCATTACAATTTCATCCAGAACCTGTTGATGAAATAAATGACATGTGCTTTGCCATATTTTTTTTCAGGGTCAATGGTGCCATTAGCAACTTTGAAGAATTCCAGAAAGCTTTTAATTGCCCACATAATTCCTCGATGAACAGAGGTGTGGATTCCTGTCGACTCTGGTAGCTGGAGTGCTGTATTCTGCCATCCTGAGACAACTGCCCACTTATTTAGGCCTATATTCCCCTGAGGACTTTTATTTTTGATGCGTTTTCATTATTTGGGTAGATGACCTGCTTGGATCTAAACAGTATCTGTTGAGAGTCATAGATTTTAAAAAAGTAAAAGAAATGGACCATGAATTTTTCTTTAGAAAATCAAACTAACAAAAGTAAATCCCTGGGCTATGTGTCTTAAAGTGCTATCTGCTGAATTGTTGCTATTTTCCATTTTAGTTAGTCATAGCTCGATGGTACATACCATTTCAATCTATACCTTTTCAGGAGTCCTAAGTAGAATGTGTCCATCAAAAAGCTCAGTCAAGTAAACCTGTAACCCTCAGTGATGAAGACATGTGTATGCATATATAGAAGGCCTTGCTGGTCTTTGGACTGCATTGCTAGACTTCAAGGACAGTCATTACTATAGCGTTTCTTAATGCTAAGGTAGTTAAATAAGAACTATGTTGGATCTCCATTTTACATTTTTCAATGAAGTTCTTATTTTCAACTTTGGAGTCTATGTGAATGAAAATGTGCCTCATAACTTGCATCTGATGCAGCTGATTGCCTTATTCAGGTCAGCATGAACAAAGATGACAATAAGTCTACTAGGTAAAGGTTGAGTTTATCAAATAGGATGAAAAGGCAATATTAAGTCCCAGAAGAAGTAAAAACTCCTAGTCATGCAACAACAGGAAAACTAGGAGTTGAAATCTCCAAAATTTTATCTAGTCTGCATGATCCTGGTTCTTCAATGAGCAGGTATTGATTGGAGGATTTTCCAATTCCCCATTAGAAACAAATGGCTTTCATTTCCCTTTAGTGCAAAGGGATAAACACTACATTAAGAGGGAGCAAAATGCTCTTCCATTTCATCTCAGTTAATGTTCCCTCTCTTTAAAAAGAAAACCTTTTAAAAATTTTCTTGATTGAAGCCATTTTAGAATATACTGATTCAATTTAAAATTCCTGAATAGAACTAAGGAATATAATTTTTACTTTTCAAGTCTTTGAAGAAAGAGCAGTACTGTTTTTGATCCTTAGAGCATTATCCTTTTAAGTGAACCCCTCTATCTTTTAGTTGTGTGTGTATGTAGGATAAAACTGAAATAGCATTAAAGTGGTTACCTGGCGTTTCCTGTTTCTTAACATAGGCACCCCCCCACACCCCATCACATTATTCATTGTACATGAGGTACTGGGTTAAGTGGGCCAAAGGGAAAATCTCAAAAGCAAAATGACAAATTGAGACTAACCACAGGAGGTCATTTTGCATCTCCGTGACTTGTCATCCTTTTAAAAGACATGTAAGTGTGTGCCATGTCCTTTTGTAACCATGGGAACTTCTGAAGAGAGAAAAATGGAGGGGAACCATCATAAGGAAAACAATTACACTGCATTAGTCAGAGGAGAGTGATTTTCCCCTTGACTTCCTCCTCTCCGAATGGATAAACTTCTGAAGGGCAGCTACCTTTTCCTCCTCTTAACCACAGCTTAATGTGACCTTAGTTTGTATGTCTAAAAACAAGTAGTACTAGGTCAGGGGTGCTGGAAATGTATGTGCCTTTTCTCTAGAGTAAGCAATTCAATTTGATTTAGACATATACAATATTTTTTGTTTTATTCCTTACTTGAGTGCTTAAAATTAGCTAAGGTTTGTCATGCTTATATGAATAGTATTTTCCTTCTAGATTTCTTTTTAAAATTCTGAATAAACATATTCCTGCAGGTCAGAGAAAGTGTTTGATAAAAGCATAGAATTATGACTTTGGAAGTGGAAATGAAGTCACTTGTTAGTTCAGGAAAACTGGTTGATGATCAGTTGGGGCTCTCACAGCTTCTTGATGACAGAGTTAACTTTTACTGATTAACTTTTCTTGATCTAACTCAATTCTACTGAAAATTGTGTATAGTATGGCCATTATTAAAACAAACCAAAGTAGCAATATAAAATCATCATTATTAACTAAGACAATTTTGTAGGATCAGATTTCTAAATGCTTGTGTTTAACTCTTCAAATTATAGTCTTCTTGTCCTTCTCTTTGATATAGGCTGCTAAAAGAAACAGTCATTGATCAAGTTTAGAGGGAAGAAGATAAGATACAACTAGAAAGGAAAAGGAAAAAGTAGACAGAAACTGGCCTAAGAATGTGGCTCTGAAGAGAAGACAGGATTTTGGCGATCCTTGTTGAGCATATCTATTGGAGGAGAGCCATAAAGTTTTACAAAAATCATTATGGTAAATTAAAAGTAAATTACATATTGGATCCCAGATTGGCTTTGCTGAGCTTTTCACCAAGTGCTCAGCATTGGCGTCCTATTTCCATATTTTTTTCCTTTTACCACATGAACTGGGATATGACTAATGCAAATTCAGGATTAATAAATTATCCTCAAGTTTATTTAGTGCCTTGCCTCAATGGAGCTTAAAGCACAGCACATAAATTTTATCACTAAGAAGCAACTAGGAACTATGGCTTGCCAGACAGGTTATGCTCATGCCAGAGAAATTGACAGGCTTGAAATTACTTGTCAGGTATCTCAGAGTAAGAAAAGACAGAGTCTTTAGGCTTTGGATTACTGTCCTATGGATTAATCATCATCCCTTAGTACTCCTATTTCCAAATATATTTATTCAATCAACATTTCTATAATCAAAGCACTTGATAGGCTTCTTCCTCAATATTTTTTAACAATGCTTCTGTTGCATCTTAAATCATGGAAGAATATCCGATTATTTCATACAATATTCTCATCACCAGTGGAAGTGTCCCACTGGTTCAAAGTAAGATGTTATTGGATTATGCATTTTTTATCTAAATAGTCTTTGTGAAATGAGTTTGATTGTGTTTTATTCCCCTACTTTTGAAACAATAAAAACAGTCTTTTTAAGGACAATAAAAAGTAGCTTGAAGTCTTTCCATTTCTCTCCTTTAAAAAAATACAAAGATATAGTACATCTATTAATATTCTGTTTTAGACTGTATAAAAAAGTATTCAATGCACTGTAATATACTATCTCTTTTGGTTTAGGAAAGTAGAATTTTAATGTAGTAACTTGCTCTGTAGATAATTAAAGATTTGTAAGGCAGTCATTATATTTTCTTCTAAAATGTAAGTCAGCAGATATGGTTAACTGCATTTGCCATAATGTTCCCTCCAAGAAAAAGACATGCCTTTGAGGAAATCATTGACCATTATAGGGTTGGTCTCACAAAAGTGACATTATTGTTACTATCAAACCAAAGAACCCCAATATGCTGTTACCATTCTTTAACAATCCAGTCAATTTATAGTCATTCATTCAGCACTCCATAACTGAGCACCCATTATATTTACATCCCTAAACCAGCTATAGTTAGGTGGATAATATACTGTCTCTGGCTTCAACAAACAATCTGGTCAACATAGGAGATGCATATGTAAGTGGTTACAATTAGACCACTTGGGGTGTGGTTTGGGACACAGAGAAGGAATTATTCAACTCCCCTGGAGGACACTGTTGGTGCTCCTTCTGTCTGGATCCCAGCAAACCCCTTTGATGGGGCATTTAACTCACCTTCTGTGTGCTTTTGTTTCTAATTTGCTATGGCTGTCTAGGATAGTTGCCATTATGCTACTGGAGCCTCTGTGCCCAGTGTACTTTCAGAGAACTAGAAGTGTGTGGTGACCCATAGACCCAAGTAATGGAGGATTCTGAAAGCCTGATTCCAGATAACTCCATAGGCATACCATATAATTCATACTAACTTCTTTATGGAGCCTATTTGGGTTAGGTTGCCAGAATAAGTAGAGTCCTCTGTTCATTATTTAAAATACCTTTCTGGCACTGATATGCTCTAAGATATGGAAAAGAACTGGTTTCTAGGCTTCTAGGTCAACCCATTGTGTAGTAGGTCATGGCATCATGTATAGGAAATATACATCAGATGATAGAGTTAGTGGATAATAAGTGGCTGAGTATGACCTGATAGTGCCCCTTTTGTAGAGTTTACTTTCTGAGTTTCTAGCTTCTGAGCTGATCCATGAAATGAGAATTTTTGTGTGTAGGGTAGTGGCAGAACTAAACATGCATATAAATGACCAAGTTTATGAGTGATCTTTGGGATATGGACAGGAAAGGAGGGCTTTGGGGAATGGAGACAAGAAGTCCAGAATCTCCCTTGCTGTGGCCTATATAACTTTGATTTTAAGAGATCCAATAGGTATTGAGTTTGCTTTCAAGTATATATCTAAGTGGACCTGATCAGAATTTGAAGGAGGCTAATGTTTCTAATTAGACTTAAAGTATTTACATTAATATTTCTAATTAGACTCAAGTTCACTTGCTTTTTTAGTAACTTATATCATACTAGCTGTAGAAACAGATAATCTTGATGGCTTAACACAGTTTAAGTTAACTTTTTGTTTCTGTTATATACATAATAGGTATTGATGATCCATGAATTTCTTTCCTCCAGCTGGTAATTTGGGAACTCAGGCTTCTTCTGCCATTTTGAACACATAATTGAATATGTGTTCATCAGCAAGAAACTTGCAGAGGGGGAAACAACATGGAAGTGCTGGGTGGAAGATTTGGGATAATATTGGAAATAGTCTACATTACTTCTGCTCTGATTACATTAGCTAATACTGTCGTGTGGCCAAACCTAACTGCAGGGGAGGCTGGGTTTTGTAGTCCAGTCATATAACCCAAAAGAAGAGGAAATGGGTTGGACTCTCAGGTAGCACTGCTAACTGTACCTTATAAAGTGAATTCCAGGGCAGTAACTTTGAGCTCTTTTGAATTTAGTAAATTGCTTTTGAGCAGAGTACAATGAAAATTGAAAATGCCATTGGTAGCCTGCAGTTTATTCTGTAGGAGTCTTTTTAATTAACGGCTTAATTGGATAATTTAATCCCCTTTAGAATTGGAGATATGAAAATGAAAATGAGATACTCCCCGTGATCTGACAATACCGTGCTTTAATAAACACACCAAAGTGAACCCGGAAATGAGCAGCACAAAAGCTTTACAATAATTTGTGATCAGTGAAAGAAAACCTGATCTATAATTTTAATTATTCCTAAATGGTTTAGATACATGTTTCATTTGAATGTGTATTTTGTTTTGTTAATTGGCTCAATTAAGAAGGTAACTGAATAACAATCTGTGGCTAAGCCATGGATTTATAATATTTTCTAAGCTTTTAAATATATCCCATTGAGAAATTAAATAAAATATCCTATGAAACATAATATTGGAATGAATTACAATATTTCCAGTATTTTTAGAGAATTTGTATAAAAATTGTTTTCATTTGCCCATTGATTATGATATAAATGCCACTAACTAAATGAACTAAATGATTAGGTTAATTTTTCTAAATTAAAGCTACCTAAAATATTGAGTATTATGTCTATTGCCAGTTTGACTGAAATACCTGCAGTATCCTAGACAAAAAGAAAAGTGTAGTTTACCATTTAGAAGTATATTTTGTTAATTTCAAAATTGATTTGAAGTTAGTGATATCAGTACTGGATAATAGATAAACTTCCTTCCCCACTGACATTTGATGCATGGCAAAAATAACCCAGATTACATTTATTCCAAAATTAACCAGATTGTTAGTTGGCATTTATAATTTTTCATCTAATAATAATCATGATTAAAATAGCTCCTATTTGTTGACCCCCACCATGTTCTAGGCACTCTGCTATGACCTTGCCTGCATTATAAACAGTCTTCACAACAATCATGCAAATAGTTGTTCCCCCTGCACAGGTGAGGAATACTTCTGGAACTCACCAAGACCACATTAGTAATTGGAGGAACCAGAAACAAAGCAAATTTTGTCTGATTTTAGAACCTTTTCTCTAATACTGTACTGGGCAATGGAAATATTCACAAACACAATTTTGACTGTGACTTAGTGAAAATTTCAGGTTGTGCTTCTGTAGTAATCTATTGGAAAATAATGTCCATATCAAAAGGAGTCTGCTTACAGGAATCCATACTTGATGGTAGTTTCATTTTGAGTCATTTAGAAAGGACACCAGAACCTGGCTTTCACTGATAATGCTTGATATTATTTATTGAACATGTGACCATGTGCCAGATATGTACAAAATGCCTTAGTTATATTATCTAATCTAATTAGTACAACAACTCAGATACCTAATACTATACCCATTTTACAGGTAAGGGAACCAAGACTTGGGTAGACTAATGACTTGCCCATGAGCATTTAAGTAGCAAGCAGTAATGAAATGATGGGTTTGAATTCACTTTTCTCAAGTACTCCCTTAGGCAAACATATAACTATGGTGACCCTAAGGCCTGGATTTCCTGGCTGGGGCATTCTCAGTTCAGTTGGCAGACTTCTCTGAAGTATACCTGTGTTTGTTTCTGGGTTTGCCTTGTCCTCTCTGTTCAGTCTCCTGAAACCAGAATATCTCTAGGTCACTTTTCCAGAAAAGAAAACCTTTGAAACACTGTCTGTGGGTAGTTGAGGGACTTTCAAGCAATCACCTTGTTTTTAACTTTAATAAGCATTCTTATAGTCTCTGTTACCTACAGCTCCCAAGACTTGAGGAATTCTGGTATTTTACAGGATATTTTAGCTTGCTTCTAGTAGGGGGTCCATTATTTTCATCATGTGGGCTTTAATCATTTTTAGAAAACATTTTAGAATAATTTTTGAAGAGGGGAAGATCCACATCTGAGCCTGCTACATTTAAGGGGAAATCTACATTTTGTTTTCTTATTGGGAAAATCTAAATAAAAATTTTTGTTGAAATAATTACTTCTGTACATAAGGTTTTGTGCTGAATAATTGCCTTTACCCAGCAATGTCTGTAACTAAGTCTAAAGATTCCTTTAAACTGCCAAATATTAGAAGATTGAATTTTCTGCAGTGGCCAATCATATTTTTTCTTAGTTATTCTAATGAAACAAGTGCACATGAACATTTGGTATTTTCCATTACTCCTAAAAACACATAACTTAGCTCTTGAAAAATTCACTCAAGATGAAAGGAATGTATTTCTGTCCACCTTCCAAAGTTGCTGTAAGAATACATCTAGAAGAGTGCTAGAGTGGATTCATCCCAATACTCCAGAGAAAATTTTTACTTATCAACAAAGGCCAAACTTAATTCTTGGAGATTCACATTGCAACTCTGATTTGCACACCTGACCCCAGCCCTGGCTCTGGTGCCAATTGAATTTGAGTTAATGCACATACCTTATTGAGAAGAAATCAATCAAAAGCTTTTTGAAGTACAAATGGTTCTTTAGAAGCTGAAAGCTCAGTGCCTTTGTAAAGCATTCAGCATATTAAAATTAGTCTACAAACTGTAGTAATAATAAGGTACTCCCTCACCCAGGAAAATTGGTATTATGTGCAAAGTGATTATTTACTGTAGAATAAAGAAAAATCAACTGTCATTTAACATGTGCCTATAACATATGAGGCAGCATGTTAGTTGCTAATATTGCATGTTGATTAATCTAGGACTTTGGTGACTTTAAACCCAAAATTCATGAACAATATTATAATAGTATGATAACATAATTATAATATCAATATTGCCATTATTCTGCCAAAAATCTTCAGTGTCTTTACATTTACAATAAAACCCAAACAACTTCTTCTGACCCAAAAGCTCTATATGGCCTGGCTCTCACTGACTGCTGTCACTTTCCATTTTTTTTTTTCCTAGCTACATCAGTCATATTTCTGTTTCTTTAACTTTATTAAGCACTCTCCCATCTTTTCAGTCTCAGGGCCTTTACTTCTTAGCCTGAAATGTTTTTCATGTGTCTTTCACATAACTCTATTAAAATCAGGCCCCTTAACTAAAGTCCACCCCTCAATTGTCCCTTACCTTCTCAGATCTAACCAGAGTTGTTTTTCC